TGGGATAGGGGTCGACATATCCCCTGTTAATTTGCATGCACATCCACCGTTTCGTTGCGCAGCTTGCAGGGCGGATGCCGTTTAAGACGGGGTCCCAGGCCTTGCCCGTGCACGCGCCCATGGGCTGCCGCAGCCTACGGCTTGACCTGGCCTGACCTGACGTGAAATCAACTCTGGGGTACATCGAATCTGTCGTCGACCCCCCATTCGGAGCAGGAGGAGGAGGAGGAGGAGGAGGAGGAGGAGGAGGAGAAGGAAGAGGGATGAGGAGGAGAAAAGGAGGGGCAGCATTGAAGAGAGGAAATGGGAGGAGAGCGCGAGGAAGAGGCGGACCGTAGCCAGCGTGGCCCTGGCCGGGGGGGGAGCGCCGGGCGAAGCAGGCGTGGACGGGCATGCGGAAGTAGGAAAAAGGAGAGGTGGAAGAGGAGGAGGAGGAGGACGACGACGACGACGAGGAACAGGAGGAGCAGGAGCAAGAGGAGGAGGAGGAGGAGGAGGAGGAGGAGGAAGAGGAGGAGGAGGTGGAGGAGGAGGAGCGAACGAGTCGTATGTGTTTGTGTGCTTGTGAGGGATCAGCTATTGCAGAATACATTTCAGGCAAGGCGTACCTTTTCGCCAGTCCCAGTAAGTTTCTAATCATCCGCCCTGCTGCTCACATACATTTGAATCAGCAAGGGCCAGCCAGTGCTGACTGTGCCAGCCTGCATCCTACCAGCTGCAGACGGACGCTCTGCTTCTCTTTAGTTTTCGGCCTCGCCAGCAGTTGCGTCACCAATGTTTGGCATCAGAGGCCAGCCACCACGCATGGACAGCCCCCAGCAAGCTCAAGTTTGAAATGCCTTGCCCAGCCACGCACATACCATTCCTTTAACAGTTGGATCGGTAGATGAGAGGAGGAGGAGGAGGAGGAGGAGGAGGAGGAGGAGGAGGAGGAGGAGGAGGAGGAGGAGGATTCTTATTCTTTGCAGGAGTGGATGGACACAATCGTACATCGGGCCCCCATGTTCTACAGGGCGTGGTCCCTCCGCCACTAAGGTACCAGACGCTACGCGCGCTGCAGCGTAATGTGCCCTGTGCCCAGTGTAATTCTTGAACCAACACGCGTGGAGCTGCTCTATGAGATTTGGCCAGCCAACACCGCGTAGGCCAGCCACTAGCAGCAGAGCCAGTAACAGGTCGACCACACAGCCAGCATCATCTCAGCCGCGCCACCATCACTCACCAGCTGTTCTAGACATAGGTTGGCCAGCCAGCACTGCCTGAGCCAGCCGCAGTACCAGCTCAGAACATCTAGCCCCACAGGCCAGTCATTTTCAACCCGGCCAGCCTCGCAGCGCTGCATACTACTAGACTGCTTCAGCCATCGCTGGCACTTGCGATACCGATTCTCCAGACTTGGTGGGATGTAGATCGGTGGGGGCGTCTTTATGAGTGGGGGAGGGAGCACGATTGACAATTACGACCATGCTGACATCAGCGTAAGGGGCGTCAGCCGTACTGTGGGCTGGTGATTGCCAGACGCCTGCTCATTCAACATAGGCTGAATGCCCCCCTCTTTCCACGATTGGCTCGCCTAATTACAGCGAAAGCCCTCATCCTGCTCCTTTTGTATTTTACCCTGCAGAGCATCACATGTGCAATATTTGATGAACTATGGTGGGTTGGGGAGGTTCTTGGGATAGGTGGTGGCTGGTGGGACATCTCACTACTCTGCCCCATTGTTTTTCGGACTGCCTAGCATGCCGAGTGATAGAGAGTCCACTTGGCAACACGCGCTCAGCATCGGGCAGGCAAGCCTCTCACTGCAGAACATGTTTTAGTTGCATTCGTATTCCCTTTCTTATGTTCGGCGCTATCCCCTCCCAGTATCAAGTTCAGTCATGCTTGATGTTCGGTGTTCGTCCCTTCTCGCTGCCCCACCACCTGGCAGACGAGTTATCCGTGCCCTCACGGGCCCACTAGCGTTTTTTCTTTGCCGCTGTGCCTATCCGATGTCTGCTGCGCCCGCCAGGCGTCATTCGTTCGCCTGCAGACCCAAGTCGGCTTCCAAGTTTGTCGCACGCCGCCCAGGACGCAACAAGAACCGATGTTCATGTCTGACCAACGTCAAAAAACAGGAAGAGGAGGAGGAGGAGGAGGACGAGGTTGAGAAGGAGGGGAAGGAGGAGGAGGAGGAGGAGGAGGAAGACGAGGAGGAGGAGGGGGCGGAGGTTGATGCAACGCTGGATTGGGCGACAGGCCGTTTTCAATTTCTGTTGGTGGGGCTAGGTAGGGTGGCGCACTTGGCACGGGTTTCCGGAGACCTCTTCAGAAGGGAGGGGGGAGGAGGAGGGAAGAGGGGGGAAATGAGGAGGAGGAGGAGGAGGAGGAGGAGAAGAAACCCCTCTTTCTCCCCCTTGAGGTCATCTTGTTCCCCCTTCTCTTCCCTTGTTCCCCCCTGCCCGTCTGCCCGTCCACTGCGTTATTCTTGCTCTTATGCCAGTGATCCCTGGAATGGTGTTCCAATGGTCGCTTGGCACTAGTTGGGTCAACCCCCCTTGAGGACCGACCGGCCCTGAGTGGGGGGGGAGGCTGCGCCCAGACGAACTCCCGAGCCACGAGGTGCCAGGTGTCAGGCGATCGCAAGCATGGATTACGGGGGCGTGCATTCACGACGGCTCCCGTTTCCATGGGAAATCGCGGATTTCAACCGCCGAACGAGGCGGCACCGGCCGCATTTTGGGGCGGGCACCTCCCCCGATCCAAATGTATTTGGCGACCTCGCGCCAAATCCATGGATCGCTGATCCATGTTCGCGCGCCCCCGAAGATGCCAGGAGGAGAAGCGGCATCGCAACAAAAATCAAACATAATTTTTCTGGCCCAAACTGGACAAAATCCCTGGGCTAAAACCTACCATTTTGAAAATGGAAAAACACACCCGCCTTCCGGTGCGTCCTGCTCGAGGCCACCATCCAGGGGGTGCTTGCCCCCAAGGTTCTCTTCGCCCGCGGAGGGCCTGCGAGGGGCCTCCCCGTCGCCACGGCCAGGCGTGCCATCAGACGCTGGCCAGACCGTACGCCTGGAGGGGTCCGGAGGTCCTTTTTCGATCCCGGGCCCAGACCTCCCTCGCGCCGTGAAAAAAAGATACGTCGAGTGGCTTCGTGGCCACGTTCGGGGGCCCGTCGCCTGGTCCCGGAGCCGCCGAGTGCGATCCGGGAGGCAGGGCCGGTCCTGGTGAAGCCTGCCCACGTGTACACGCTCGCGCAGATGCACACGAATGCACACACTCCATGGCACAAGTCGTGGCACAGGAAGGCGTTGGAGGTCGTCGGGGGCCCAGACACTTGGCGCATCGGGACAAGCGAGGCGACCCGTCTGCCTCTCTGGGGCACCTTCGGCGGCCCCGCTGCGGGCCCCTGGGCCGTGCAGGGCCGATCCGAGACGAGACGCGGCGGCGGGGGAGGGCCCTCTCAGAAGGCGGCGTGGACTTCTCGGAAGCCCTCCCTTCTGAGACGTGTTCGTCTTGTCTTCGGGGAAGGCGCAGAGAACTTCGCAGAAGGCGAGGGGGGACTTCCCCGAGCCTCTGGATCACCTTCTCCTTCTCACTTCCCCCCCCCTCGCTCGCCGCCGAGAGACACTGGCCCTGCACCAGTGGGCCACCTCCAGCGGGGAGGGCCACGATGCCCCTCCCGAGCTGCAGGTCGGGGACCCTCCGATGGGTCCTCTAACCCGTGGTGGTGGTGCAGACCTTCTCTGCCCTGCCCAAACGCAGCCTTCCCCCGCCGCCCCCCCCCCCCCTTTGGTGACGACGTCCGAGCGCTTCCCCGCCGCCATTCGATTTCGAACCGTAGGGGTTCTCCGTTGGGGGCTCTCTCTCTTCGCAGGCAGTGTCTTGAGCCCCCCGAAACGCTGGCATGGGGCCCCGCACGACGTGTGAACCGGTAGGTGTAGGGGATCACATGTGATTGCCGACTCTCCTTTCTTATGGGGAGGGATGATGGCTCAGACATCCGAAACCGCTTTCGTTGGTATGTGTTTTTGCAATGGTCCTCATCCTCCTCTTCCCTGGCCGCGCCGCTGCTGCTCTGCGCGGCTTGAGGGTTCCGCTTTTAGAGGCGTGCGCGTGTCCCCTCCTCGCTGACCTTGCTACGCGCTGTCGCTGCGCGCGGGGCCGCGACGCTGAAAAGTGAGTAAGTGTGTAAGTGTGTGGTGTGTGTGTGTGTGTGTGTCTGTGTGTGTGTGTCTGTGTGTCTGTGCGTGTGTGCGTGCGTGCGTGCGTGCGTGCGCGTGCGCGTGCGCGTGCGCGTGCGCGTGCGTGTGCGCGGGCGTGGGCGTGGGCGTGGGCGTGGGCGTGGGCGTGGGCGTGGGCGTGGGCGTGGGCGTGGGCGTGGGCGTGGGCGTGGGCGCGTGCGCGTGCGCGTGCGCGTGCGCGTGCGCGTGCGCGTGCGCGTGCGCGTGCGCGTGCGTGTGCGTGTGCGTGTGCGTGTGCGTGTGCATGTGCGTGTGCGTGTGCGTGTGCGTGTGCGTGTGCGTGTGTGTGTGTAGGTGTGTGTAGGTGTGTGTAGGTGTGTAGGTGTGTAGGTGTGTAGGTGTGTGTAGGTGTGTGTGTGTGCGTGTGTGTGTGTATATGTGTTTGTGTGTGTGTTCCTCTCATCCCGGCCGCCGCCGGGCGCCTCATCCTCCTCCTCTTGCATGGTGGTCTAATTCGCGTTCCGTGCACCGCACCACGCTTCTCTCGCCGGCGCAGTGATTCTAGCCTTGCCGCCGACGCAAACATTGTGTGTATGTGTGTGTGCGCGTGCGTGCGTGCGTCCGTGCGTGCGTGTGTGTATATGTGTGTTTTGCAACATGGGGCCCAGAAGTCTCGACCCGCTTCCTGGGAACAGCCTTGCATCAATAGTTTTGTTACAGTCCCATGCGCCAGTAATGGCCTACAGCAGGAGGCCACGGTGAACATGCCTGGAAACGGTCCGTTGTGTTTTCTGACGACGCGAGGTGGTTGATCTGGGTGCGAGGACCATGCAGCGAAATAAGAGCCTCAAGCTCCAGTTAGATGCGTCCTGGCCAGAGTTTTGAAGGAAGCAAGGCGTGGCCACGAGAACGCCCCAGGAGACTACCTGGCAAGGCCCAAACACGTCCTACAAAACAGATCGTCGCGAGACAGGCCGCGACGAGAGAGGGCGTGAATCTGCAATCCCTGGGAAGTTTCGTTTTACATCGGCGCTGGTAGATCCGCGGTCACAAATTGGTTCCATCCAGCATAATCCTGTTCAGTTCCGCGCATTACAACTTCACCCTGGGTGGTCTGAATCCTGCTTGATCCTGCCAAATGGCCCCTTAATTTGCCTCATCGTTCTTACGAAGACCTCCCAAAAAGTTGACTCCCTATGTTGGGCGGGGGTTAGACTGAGATCCGAAGCAGTGAAGAAATACCACATCGTGAGACATCACGACCAGAGCCCCAGACCCCATCTGTCTGCGCCGTCCTTCGAGCCGGATCGTTCTGTGAGGGGCACGGGGACAGAAACCAGGCGAGAACGCACGACTCGAAAACATGGATCCAGACAACCGTCTGCTCCAAATCTTTCGATCGATGCGTGGGCCCAGGAGGTCTGGACAGCTTCCCCGGGACCGGTTTTTCGTCCCGAGTCGTTCTTGCACGGTCCCAGGGCCCGGCGAGGGCCCCCGGGCAACACCGCCAGCTCCAACTGTTCCGGGGCGTCGGACCTCTGGGGGCGCCAGGATTCCCGGGGCAGACGGGCGGTCGCGGCGCGCGTCTCCCGGCCATCGGTGCCGCGCCCGCGGGGGGGCTGGCGGAGGGCTGGAGGCGCGGCGCCCCGTCGCGGTTCCGGGGCCGCATCGCCAGGTGCGACGTGCTGCACGGGCGGGAGGCTTCCGGGTGCTGCTGGAAGTACTCCGCCACGCGCAAAGGGGGGTGGGGGGAGGGGGGAGGGCTTCTTAGAAGCACCCCTGCTTCTTAGAAGGCACTGGCCTTGTGTATAGATGTAAGGCCGGCGCCTTCTAAGAAGCAGCCTGCTTCTAAGAAGCCCTCCCTCCTCTCCCCACCCCCTTGTGCGCGCCGCTAAAGTACCCTTGGCCCAGGGGTGCCCCCAGAGGATTTCCAAGGGAGGCGTTCCAATATGAGGGCCGTGCCTTCGAGGATCGGAGGAGTTGCCATCTCTTCCTCGGCGGAAGGTCGGCGGGAGTAATTACGACGAGGCCGCCTCCGCCGGCGGAAGGGCGGCGGAAGGCGGCGGAAGTAAAAGATGCGCCCCCCAGAGATGACACCGTTTTCGGGTCCAGGGCTTCCGGGATCCGCCAAGGAGGCCCCCACGGCCCTCAGAGAACCCCTCCCGAGGCCCCGAGAGCCCAGTGGGCTCCCCCAAATGGAGCGGGAAGCTTGGGGCACCGTGGGCCATGGGGACCCTTCAGCAGCCCCCAAGAGGTCTGGATCTGGCCCGGGGAGCAGCAGGGGCGCCGAGCTCGAGGGGCACAGGCAGTGCCAGTGCCACGCCGGTCGGGGACCCCACCAGCGCGTCGCTGCTGTCTACGCTTAAGTCGGGCCTGTCCCTCTACAGAAGGAATATCCGAAAATAGTCAAAGAATAGTCTGGGGACGATCTTTTGGTATGTTTGAATATTTTTTGAATTTTTATGAGCACGCCTAATTGTTCGCCCAAGAACTCGCCTGTAGGAGGACACTTCCCACCTGAGTGCACGCATCCCAGATGAGCGACGCCATAAAGCGGGGTCGTCTGTGCCGACGTTGGCGCGTGAGCTGCCCGCGTGAGGTCGCGTGCAAACGCCCTCTCGCTTCCAAGGTAGCGTGCCGTGCTGGCGGCCCGCGTGAGCCACCGCGTCAGGAGGCCATGGCATCTCGCGTGAGATCCGTTTGTTTTTTGTCGCTCAAAAGGGGTCGGAGGATAGTGCCGCATCGCTGACGTATAGCCGATGTGTCTCGATGTGGAGCCCGATCTTCTCCACGTCGACGGCGCCGATGCATCGCTGACGTCGGCGATGCAGCGTCGATGCATCGGGCGGTGCGGCGCGATCCTCCTACCTTGTCTACTCGGAGACCCCCCCCATCTAGGCGTCTATGTTGAAGATGTGGCAGGCTTTTGTGCAGAGGAGGCGATTGAGCACCATGCGTCGGTTGAGTAACGACGCGCGTTTCGTTGATTCTCTTCCCGACCCTCGCTCTGGGTGGGTGCGGCGGCGGTAACGAGCGCTACCGCCAACAGGACAATCCAACGCCCGTTGCCCCCCTGCATGGCCCCTCTCGTGCCAGGGCGTCCGAGAGGAATGACCCCGCCGTTGCTAGGGCGATTCGGATGCAGTGGACCGCCCCTCCGCCCCCGGTGGGCGCGCGGTGGCCTAGGGTGTCTCGCCGTGGTGTCCTGTGATGTCCCGTTGGTGTCCTCGGTGTTCCGTCGGCGGTGGGCGGGCTGTGGCCGGGTGTGCCCCGCCTTGGTATCGATATCAGTGAAGTCGGTAGTGGGATCGATGATGAGACCGCTAGGAGGGGATGGATAGTGCGATCTAAAGTGAGATCTACAATGAGGTTGATTGTGACATTGGTTGTGGGGTCGGTAGTGAGATCGATCGTCAGGTCGATAGTGATACCGGCGAGATCTATAGCTGTATCTGTCGTGAGATCCATCGTGCGGTCTATAGCGAGATCGGTTAATCGATTCCGTGAGGTCGATCGTTGGATCGATCGATTAGATCGGGACCAGGGACGAGAGTGAGATTACATCGAGAGTGAGGTTGATTATGACATTGATTGTGATCGCGCTGTCTGATGCGCAGGGAGGCGACGTCCTCTGGGTCGTGCAGATCTTGTGGGAATAGGCGATCTCCGCTGGGGCGATCACAATTGGATCGACCGCTGAATCCGTTGGTGCTAAGATTCGCCGTGAGGTCGATAGTGGGATCGATCGAGTGAGATCGAAATCGGTCACGATAGTGACATTGTATCGCAACGCAACACCGTTATCACGCATCGTCGCTAACTCGAGGGCGCGCCACCAGCATCGTCATTATCACGCCCATCGCATTTGCCAGTAGTTTGTCCTTTGCTCCCCACCCCCCGGACCTCCTTATCACACGCAGGGTGAGCACCGCGGAACACCTTGCGCTTTTCAGTTAAAATGCTCCTCCCAAGGCTCGCACCGCGCCTTATGTTCTACAAGGGAAGGGCTTGGTCCTCAAACTGCGTCGTAGGGCCCCGAGCTACAACGACAACAACACCAACCACAACAATGATACCTCCCCACAACTCTTTTCAAGATCGCGCGCTCTCGCGCGGGACGTCCTCATACTTGATGCAGGAATCGGACTCTCGCGTGGTATCTCTTGACAACTGATTGCGGCGCCGTGCCCGCCGGACTCAGGAATCCGTCTCTCGCTTTGGATTACCTCACGGCTTACGTGGGGATCCCGCCATCGCTCTAAAATGTCTTACGTTTCTTGTTGGATGGACGCTTCGGCGACCAGCCCTCTCGACCCAGCCGTCTGGGCCCTCGCCCGACCTGCCCGCCAGGGTCCGCCCGCCCGACTCGCCCGTCGGGCCCTGCCGGCTGCCCTTCTGCTCCACGCCATCCTGCAAATCTCTCGCGTGCTCCATCCTTCTCCCTCCTCCCTTCCCTCCTCCCTCCTCTTCTCCTCCTCCTCCCTCCTCCCTTCCCTCTCTCTCGTGCTCCATCCTTCTCCCTCCTCGCCTCTTCCCTCCTCACTTCCCCGGTTCAGTGGCTGCGCCAATTGCACGCGGCAGCCAGGGAAGATCTACTCCCAAGGGGGGCACGATCGAAGACGAAGAGAACGGGCATCGAGGGCTCGGGATACGCGCGTTGAGCGGCACGCGAGCAAAGAGAGAGAGCCGCCCGCGACCCACCCCGCGACCCAGTCCCCCGACGTCGTGACTTTCCCGTGATGTGACCCCCAGGAGCCGCTGACCCCTTCCCGGGCACCGGTTTCTCATCCCGAGCTGTTTTTGTTGACAGCCCCGAGGCCCGGCGAGAGCCCCTGGAGGCCGGAAATAGCGAACCATCTCCCGCCGTGATTTTCTCTTTGCAGCGCGAGGAGGTCTGCGGACCAATCTCAGGAGGGGAAAAAACACACAGACACAATCAATCGTCGATTCCCAGGAAAATATGGGAAAATATTGGAAGTGGTGGGAAGACAAACACCCAGAACATATGGGGAAATATGGGGCATATTTTTACGTGTCTGTGTATTTATTTGTGTGTCCCTTCACAACCACCCCGCGACCCACCCGCTGCCCACCTGGCGACCCACCCTGCGCCCGCCCACCCCCTTATCTTACCCCGCGGACTGCGGGGTGCTACGTTGATCCGCATCCGCGGCTCCCTCGCGGCCTGGACGCTTCGGCCGCGACCCCACAAAGGAGCGAGGGGGAGGGGGGAGGGGGGAGGGGGAGGAGGAGGAGGAGGAGGAGGAGGAGGAGGAGGAGGAGGAGGAGGAGGAGGAGGAGGAAGAGGAGGAAGAGGAGGAGGAGGAGGGGGAGGGGGAGTGAGGAGGAATGGGAGGGAGGAGGAGAGAAGGAGGATGAGGAGGAGGAGGAGGAGGAGGAGGAGGAGGAGGAGGAGGGAAACGACATCACGCTGGTGGTGTGCGGGGAGCTGAGAGAGGTGGAGTTCACGGCTTTCGGCGCGACCAGAGAACTCTGCCAGCGGCTCGGGGCGCTGGGCTTCAAGGTCTCCCTGACCAGAGGGAACGTGTTGAGCAGCGACGAAGGCGTAGGTATGCGGACGGCCCACCGCTTGCGGAAGTGGGACTACAGGTTCCGATCTGTTGTCAAGAACCTCGGGGTCGACTTCGGCATGAAGCCCAAGGCGTCGTGGTCCGTCCTGCGCAGCAGAGTGGCGAGGCTGGCGGTCAGGTCCTCACGCTACACTGCGTTTCGACGCGCGGGGGCCATGCTGGGCAGCGTTTTCCGATGCGGAGGCCTTGGCGTCCGTCCTCCATCGGGCCAGAGGTGGTCGGCGTGCCGACGGCGGCGCTGGAGAAGGCGAGGGCCATCAACGGCGCTGGCGGGGGGCGGGCAGCAAGAGCAGGACGTTGCAGTTTGCGCTGCAACCGGACCAGGGCTGGAAGCTGGACCCCGCTTACGCGGCCGACAGCCTGCCGTTGGAGGCTTGGGCGAAGGTGGTGCTCCCAGGGATGCGCAGCGATGCGAGCCTGGAGACGGTCTTCTACGCGGCGCAGACAGAGTCCTGGGGCCAGGTGCGCGGGCCCGCGGACGCGGTCAAGCTCACCCTCAAGGGGATCGGTTGGGAGGCCGTCGACTGGTGGACCTTGGTCACTGACCGAGGAGACACAGTAAACCTCAAGACCCACAGCCCCGAGCGCGTGAGGCATATCATCGAGCTGGGGATCCAGCGCGCGCTGATGAGGAGGCTGCAGCAGGGGCTCTTGGCAGGAGTGCTCGATGGGCAGCCGACGCTACACGCCACCCGACAGGCGCTGGCCGCAGTGCGCAAAGGAGCGGACTGCGAGCAGGTAGTTTTGGTCGAGTCGCTGATTTGCGGGGGCCTGATGACTCAGGTGGACCTGTACCGTGAGAGAGCAGTACTGAGCCCCTTGTGTGCGATGTGCGGCGTGAAGCCAGGGACGGCAAAACACAGACTTTTCTGCTGCGACGGCACTGCCGGCGTCGCGGTGAGGCTGGATCTTCAGGAGGCAAGGAGAGCAGGCGCGGCGAACGACGACAACGACGTCAGCATGGTCAGGTGCCTGGTCAGTCCGTGGCTGGATCTGGTTCCGAGGCCAGCGCAGCAGGAGGTGTGCATACGAGGTGGAGTGCTGCGGGAAGACCTGATCCACGGGACGGTCTGCATTGACGGTTCGGCGGTTTTCCCAGAGTGGGGCGAGCCCACGCGGAGTGGTTGGGCCTGCACGGTCGTGGACCCCGACGGGACGTTGACAGGAGGTATGTACGGTTGCGTGCCTAGGGCCTAGGCCAGTGAAAGAGAGTGGCTATGCCGAGCTCTATGCGTTGCTGAGGGCATTGCAGGAGAAGGGTCCCAAGGTCGACGTGGTCACGGACTCCCTTCGGCTGGTGGAGGGCTTCGAGCGAGGAGAAGAGTTGTGCGAGGCGGCGGGCTCGCTGCACGCAGACTTGTGGCGCGAAGTCTGGGCGCATTTGGGTCCCGCGGCGGCCGACGCGGAGGCTGCAGGCGTCCCGCTGGCCTAGCACCGCGGCAACCGACACGCGGACGCCAAGGCCATGCAGGGCGCGAGGCTGCACACCTCCTTCGTCGTTTTGGAGGAGAAGGCGGCCCAGGTGAGAGCGGCCACCCGTGCCGCGGAGCTGGTTGCCGCTCGCCATGGAGCGGTGCTGAAAGAGCTCGCCTCATCTGGTTTGCCTGATCGGAGACCTCTGTCCACTCGGCCCTCCCTCCGGAACTCGATCGTTCTCGTGTCTGGCGAGAACGGGCACTCGGTTTTGCGTCTGGGAGGGGCCAGGGGCTGTAGTATCTGTGGGGCTAGAAAGGGGCTCCGATCCAGGCGAGTGTGCTCGCCCTGCCCAGGAATGCCCAGGCGCCTGCTGCGATCGCCCACTCCTTCTGTGAGCTGTGGATGATTCGCGGGGATCGGGGGCGGAGGGTGATTGGAGGGGCTCATGGGAGGCGTGGGGCGGTCGTGTTCTGTAAGGTATGCGGGGCCTACGCGCGTCGGCAGGTGCACGGCCTTGGTCGCCCCTGCCGCCCGTTCTCGTCGCGGCCCCGATCGTCCGGCCGTCTGGCTCGATCGGCCCTGGGACGCCCGTTGTCTGGAAGGGAGCCCCAGTCCAACGTGTTCTGGGGCTCCCCTTTCCCCCTCTCTGGGGACTCGTTCGGCGCGGCGCCCGACGTCGGGCCGGAGGAGGGGGGAAATTCGCCAGGCCCCGAAGCCGAGGAGGCATAGGCCTCCTGTGGTGTGTTTGGTCCTGCTTGGTAGTCGGTTAGGTTAGTTCGGCGTTCGCGGGACTTTCTCGATTTGGGATCAGAGGATCAGAGTAGGAGGAGGAAGAGGAGGAGGAGGTGGAGGAGGAGGAGGAGGAGGAGAAGCAGGAGGAGGAGGAGGAGGAGCAGGAGGAGCAGGAGGAGGAGGAGGAGAAGTGGATGCCTCGTTCGAGACGCACCCGCGGGATCGTGGTGCGGCGAGCGAGGGCAGGAAGCGAGACGGGGGAGGCCTTCTCAGAACAGAGGCCATCGCGCCGACCATGCCTTAGAGGGAGGCCTGGAGTCAGGAGTGGACACAATACATCCTCGACTCCCAGAAAAAGAAAGGGAAAATATGGGGAGTGGGGGGGAAAGTCGAAAACCCAAAGAATATGCGAACATATGAGAACCCTGGGATTTACTTGTACGGGGCTCCTGTTTAGAGAACTTTTCAGAAGGCCGGGGGACTTCCGAGCCTTCTGAGAAGGCCCTCCCCTTCTGGGACGCCGGGTGATTCGGGGGGTGATGGGTCGGCTGTCCGCAGTGGCCCTCCGGGGCGACCCGGGTACCCCTGGAAGAAAGCCCTCGGCGAGGCGCAGCCGCTGGCACGCACCCCGAAAACAGGCGAAGACGTCCGCAGAACCTCGAACTCTCCCCCCTCCTCCTCCTCCTCCTCCTCCTCCTCCGCATCCTTCTCCTCCTCCGCTCCTCCTCCTCCTCCTCCTCCTCCTCTCCTCCTCCTCCTCCTCCCCCCTCCTCCTCCTCCTCCTCCTCCTCCTCCTCCTCCTCCTCCTCCTCCTCCTCCTCCACAATTTCTCAATATGAATACTACTCTCCCTCTTCCCCTGATGACGGCCTGGGAGTGTCCGACCCCCCCCTGCGTATTGTTTTTTATACACAGGTTTCCCCGGAGTTGGGTTTTCGCTTGCATTTTTCAAAATGCTGCTCTCGCTGAGGCGCCGGCCTCATTTTCGGGCCCCGCTCGTTCCGAATCGTGCTCCCGCTGCAGCGTTGGCCTCATTTCCGTGCTTCCACTCGTTCCGAATCGTTCTCCCGCTGCAGCGTTGGCCTCATTTCCGCGCTTCCGCTCGTTTCGACTCCTGCTCCCGCTGCAGCGCTGGCGTCATTTCCCGTGCCATGCCACGGCATGCACTGCAATGCTAGGTCGATACTACGCATTGCGGGGCTCTTCTACGCCATGCCACGCCGTGCTCGACAATGCATCGCGTACCCATCATTGCCCTGCTCGACATCCGACTGAGCGAGTAGAGAGGGGATCTGCGCCATGGTGAGGGATGGGAGGGAGGGGTAGGATGTCAGATATGACGCGAGCGCACCTAGCTTATTCTCGTCCCCCTCCTCCTCCTCCCCTCTCCTCCTCCTCCCTCCCCTCCCCTCCTCCCCTCCTCCTCCTCCTCCCCCTCCTCCCCCTCCTCCTCCTCCTCCCCCTCCTCCTCCTCCTCCTCCTCCTCCTCCTCCTCCTCCCGGGGGTCGCGGCCGGCTTTCGTCGCCGCTGCGCGCCCCTGCTGGTCCCCGCCCAGCTGACCGGCGCGGCCGACCCGGCCCTGGTCGCGGAGGCCGCGGGGCGCTGCGGGCTGACGCACTCCGTTTTCGAGGCCCGTGCCTGGGAGGAGGAAAGCCCTGAGATCCTGGCGTCTCAATCTTTTTAGGGGGCGAAGAACGGTATGAAATAAACTTGTCCGCCGTCGGGGACGCCTGCCCCCGGGCGACCGTAAAGTTTGTACCCCTACGTGGCACCGTAAGGGTATAAACTTGCCAGCCGCCCTGGGACAGGCGCCCCCGATAGTGAAAATAATAATTTCATATTGTTCCTTGCTCGTAGATTTATGCGAGTTGATTCGCCGGGCGGTTTCGTCTTTTCTCAGGCCCCCCGACCCTCACATATCGAGCCGATTTGAAAAACGACGCAGCAAGATCGGGTCCGGGGCTCCAGGCGTGATGTTTTACGATGTTGCAACTTTTGCCGCTACGTCGGATCTCAGGGAAGGTACCCATACCGCTGCCTTTTCCTCGGTTTCCCCTTGTATGGGCCTCCCATGGGATTCACTTTGAAATTTCTGGCCAGAGCACACCCTGGGAGAGCCGGCGAGTGTTGCGGTATCGCCACCGCTCGGCTTCCCCCATCCCCATATCCTCTTGGGGATGATCGGGGGCCGACGTTCGATCCGTACCCCGGCTGCTGCCCCCCTCTGACAGCCGGGGGGTAGGGCATCGATAAATAAACTGGGCCTCCAGAGGCTGGATTTTCATCCGTGCCCCCGCTCCACCCCCTCGTAGAGTTCTTGCGCGAGTAGTTCGGTAGCAAGCCACGGGAGCCTGGTACACCCCCTCAATTCCGTCTTTAGCGTCGACTAGCGCCGATTAGCGTCTGGGAGTCGATGCGATAGCGCTGGTTTAGCCTCGATGAGCGTCGATTTAGCGTCGATTAGCGTCGATGTCGCGTCGATTTAGCGTCGATTCGCAAGGGCCGACAAGATGGTATGGGCTCCCATGAGTTGCCAGCGACGAGAAGGGGCACGGACGAGATGTCGCCCCGCCTTCTCCACCCCAGGCCTCCTCGCGTCGTATGCAAGCGGTGACGGCTGAAGGTCTTCTGGGCAGCTCCATCGGCTGCCGCCGGGCTGGGGGCCCCATGATGCACGGCCCCGCGCGGATTCGACACGGCTTCGACGCGGACCCGACGAGTCCGACGTGGATTCGACACGGATTCGACGCGGATGGGGCCGCGACGGGACAGACGAGATCCCCTGAGGAGGATGCAGCAGCAGGGATGCTCTGCCGGTCGTCAGGACGGGGTCCGTGGAACATCCCGACGTGGGCGGCCCTCCCAGCGGGCGGGCGCCGTGAAGCTCGCCTGGGCCCTGCCCCGAAGAGCGGTGTGCCTTTGGCGGGTGCAGCTCGGGCCCGCGGGGCTGGCCAAGACGTTCCATTCGATTCGGTAGCAGATCTCGGGCCGGACGAAAGGGGGGGATTGGGAAAGGGGGGGGTACGAAATTTGCTGCATGCAGCTGGTTTCGGCCTCACCGAGGGGCCCATTCCTCGATAACTAGCCGCCTCCGGCGCCGGGAGGCGCCGGGAAAATCAGCTACGTGAGCTGATTCTCAAACCCCCCCTTTGCTGTCCCCCCCTTTCGCCCGACCCGAAAATCAGGGGAGTCTCGTATACGTACCGCCCCGCAATTGCGGATAAGAGTGAGGGGGCGGGCGCGGGGGGGATTGCTTGTGGGCCCCCCCGGAACGAATGCAAAAGAAACCCGCCGCAGGCGCCGAAGTTTTGGCTTGTTCAGTGAACGTAGTGTTTGGGTCGCGGGTGGGTCGCGGGCTCTCCACCTCCACCTGGAAGGAATTCAAAAGCAGCCCGCCGCAGGCGCCGGAATTACTAGCGGCGCGCGAGTTTCAAATCAGGGGAGTCTTGTATACCCTCGCAGTTTCGTCGTCCGCGTCGACTGGCGTCGATTAGCGTCTGGGGGTCGGTGAGACAGCGCCGCTTTAGCGTCGGCTAGCGTCGATGAGCGCCGATTTAGCGTCGATTTGCGCCGATTCTCAGGAGGGAAAAACCGCACAGACACAATTAATTTTCGATTCCCCAGAAAATATGGGAAAATATGGGGAATCTGGTTATTTGTGTGTATTTATTTGTGTGTCCTTGGGCCCCTTCAGATTCGCAAGGGCCGACAAGATGGTATGGGAGGCCCCCATGAGTTTCCACCGAAGGCTCAAAGAAGGACCCTCCGCCTCCTCGCCAGGGATCCGGGCGGCAGGGCCCCCTGGATCCTCACAAGAGGGCAGAGGAGAGAGGTAGGGGAGGAGGAGGAGGAGGAGGAGGAGGAGGAGGAGGAGGAGGAGGAGGAGGAGGAGGAGGAGGAGGAGGAGGAGGAGGAGGAGGGGGAGGAGACAGAGGACGAGGAGGAGAGACGGAGGAAGAGGAGGAGGAGGAGGAGGAGGCGGAGGAAGAGGAGGGGGAGGAGGAGGAGGAGGAGGAGAAGGATGGACCTGACTGCCCAGAGTGCCGCAGCGGTGCCTTCCTGGGCTGCCGGAGACCTCGGCAAGAATCGATCCAATGTCGATCTGATTCGGGCCGATTCGTTGGCGGTCCGCTCTCCCTCAGAGCTCTCCCCCAGAGCTCTCCCCCAGAGCTCTCCCCCAGAGCTCTCCCCCAGAGCTCTCCCCCAGAGCTCCCCTCCAGAGCTCTCCCCCAGAGCTCTCCCCCAGAACTCTCCCCCAGAGCTCTCCCCCAGAGCTCTCCCCCAGAGCTCTCCCCCAGAGCTTTCCCCAGACTATCCTTTTCCGAGTTCGATTCGATTTCGCGGTTCGATCCAGCTGAGGAGGAGGATGACCTTTCCCAAACCTCCGACGTCGTATTTATGTTTCGCAGCGTGGACCCCGAAAGTTCAGACCACTTCCCCAGGACCGGTTTTTCATCTTCAGACGCCTCCTGACGGCCCCAGAGCCTGATAAGGGCCCGCAGAATCAAAAGCTTGACGATACAGTCAACATTGATAGGAAGGATGATCGACTTCCATAAGGTGTACCTTGCTTCCTTGCCTCTTCGGTCATCTCCAGTCCATCCTCAACCGCTCTCGATGGCCAGCCCCGCTCGAAGAGCCTCGGCATGGGCGCCCAGGGCCCTTGCCGCGCATCCGTACTATCAGTTCTGACCTGTAGCCACACGTCGTGGCTCCTGAAGACGTGAAGAGGCCCGTCCGCCTCTCCCATCGTCCTCCTCCTCCTCCTCCTGCTCCTCCTCTTCCTCCTCCTCCAGCTCCTCCTCCTCCTCCTCCTCCTCCTGCTCCTCCTCCCCCTGCTCTTCCTCCCCCTGCTCTTCCTCCCCCTCCTCTTCTCCTCCCTCTCCTCCTTCTCCTCCCCCGCCTCCCCCCTCCTCCTTCCTCCTCCTCCTTCCTCTTCATCATCATCATCCTCCTCCCGCTTCTCCTCCCCTGCGCTTCCTCCCCCTCCTCCTTCCCTCCCCCGCCTCCTTTTTCCTCTTCCTCCTCCTTCTCCTCTTCCTCTCCTCCTCCTCCTCCTCCTCCTCCTCCTCCTCCTCCCCCTCCTCCTCTCCTCCTCCTCCTCCTTTTCCTCCTCCTCCTCCTCCTCCTCCTCCTCCTCCTCCTCCTCCTCCTCCTCCTCCTCCTCCTCCAACTCCTCGCTCCCGCCGAGGTCCGGGCGCACGCCCAGGGCGGGCCGCCCCGGGCGGGCACGCCGGCGGTGGCCCGCCGGGTGCGCCGGCTCCGGGCTGCGCTGCTGCGGCGGCTGCAGAGGGAGCCTCGGAGTCCTAGAGATTGACACCAACACCAAGATCGGCGGTGTGTCTCCACCGAGGGAAGACGATCCCGATCTCGGTGGTGGTGGTAATATTCTGGCTTCCAAGGTGACCGAAATATTACCACCAACACCGAAATCTAAGATCATCATCTTCCTGTGGAGGCAAACCCCTGTGCTGGTGTTGGTGCCAATTTCCAGGCCTCCAAGAGCTCGGCGTCGTCGGCGTCGTCGTCGTCTTTGTCTTCAACGTCGTCGTCGTCGTCGTCGGCGTCGTCGTCGTCGTCGGCGTCGTCGTCGTCGTCGTCGTGGTCGTCGTCGTCGTCGTCGTCGTCGTGGTCGTCGTCGTCGTCGTCGCCGCCGCCGCCGCCGCCGCCGCTCGGGCCGGACGAAAGGGGGGGATTGGGAAAGGGGGGGTTACGAAATCTGCTGCATGCAGCTGGTTTCGGCCCCTCGAGGGGCCCATTCCTCGATACATGGCCGTCTCCGGCGCCGGGAGGCGCTGGGGAAATCAGCTACGTGAGCTGGTTCCCCCTTTTGCTATCCCCCCCTGTCGCCCGGCCCGAACCCATCAAGCAGTGGCGAAGCGTCCCGGCTCGCCTGAAGGCCCACCAGAAAATGTTTCAAGAACCTTTTCCCGGAAGAGGCACAGGCCCAGGTCTTTTAGGGGTTTGCCCCCGGATCTGACGGCTGTAGGGCCGGCGAATTTCTTTTGACGAGGTCGCCTAGGGCCGGCGAATTAAAAAGTTGAGGATGTCTCGAGCAACGTTTGTTTTCAGAATTTGTTGAGGATGTCTCGAGCGAAACGCTTGTTTTGTGTTATACATTGTCCTCTCCTGGGGACCTGAATTCAGAGGATCTCTCAAGTGACATGCTTGTTTTCACGTGCCCAGGTCTTGAGGACGTCTCGAGCGAGACGCTTGGTTTCACGCCTCCAGGTCGCCCAGGCAGAGGTCTAGCGCCAGGATTCGTAGATGATGTCTTGAGCGAGACGCTTGGTTTCACGCGTCCTCGTCGCCCAGGCGGAGGTCTAGCATGAGGATGTGTCGAGGAAGTTTCGATCGAGACGCTTGTTTGCGCGTGTCCAGGTTGCCCAGGCGGATGTCTAGCATGAGGATGTGCTGGGAACGTCTTGAGCGGAACGCGTGTTTCCACGTGTCCAGGTCGCCCAGGCACAGCACAGCCCTCGGCACGGTACATCAATATCGATACCCTTAGCATTGCAGCCTGGCATGTTGACTGGCACGTTCCGCGGAGCATCCCGTGGCGAGTCCCCCTGGCACGTCGCGCGGTGCACGTCCATTGGCACGTTCCGTAGCGCGTCCCCTTGGCATGTCCATCGGTGCGTCCCTATGGCACGTCCCCTGGCACGTCGCCTGGCGCGTCCCTTGGGACGTTCCGCGGCGCGTACTCCTGGCATGTCCCCTCTGTCGATTTGTTCTGGGGCAGCTACCATCTGCTCAGGCAGCTCGAGCTTAAGATCGGTCAGGACTCGGATGCAAAGAGGAGTCGATCTACAACGTTAAATCGAGCACAATCGTGGCATGGTACATCGCAGTTCAGCACGGCCCAGCACAGCACAGCCGTCGGCACGGTACATCAAGATCGATACACTCAACATTACACCTTGGCAAGTTCCATGGCCCGTTCCGTGGCGAGTCCCCCTGGCACGTCGCGCGACGCGTCCCCTGGCACGTCCCGCGGCACGTCCATTGGCACGTTCCGTAGCGCGTCCCTTTGGCACGTCCCGCGGTGCGTGCCCATGGCACGTCCCCTGGCACGTCGCCTGGCGCGTCCCTTGGGACGTTCCGCGGCGCGTCCTCCTGGCATGTCCCCTCTGTCGATTAGTTCTGGGGCAGCTACCATCTGCTCAGGCAGCTCGAGCTTAAGATCCAGATCAGTTCGGTCAGGACTCGGATGCCAGGGAGGACTCGATCCACAACGTTAAATCGAGCACAATCGCGGCATGGCACATCGCAGTTCAGCACGGCGCAGCACAGCACAGCCCTCGACACGGTACAGCAAGATCGATGCATTCAGCATTGCAATTTGGCACGTTCCGTTGCGCGTCCCGTGGCGAGTCCCCCTGGCACGTCGCGCGGCGCGTTCCTTTGGCACGTCACGTGGCACGTCCATTGGCATGTTCCGTAGCGCGTCCCTTTGGCACGTCCCGCGGTGCGTGCCCATGGCACGTCCCCTGGCACGTCGCTTGGCGGCGCGTCCCTTGGGACGTTCCGCGTCGCGTCCTCCTAGCATGTCCCCTCTGTCGATTAGCTCTGGGGCAGCTACTATGTGCTGAGGCAGCTCGAGCTTAAGGTCCAGATCAGTTCGGTCAGGACTCGGGTGCAAAGGAGGACTCGATCCACAACGCTATAGAGCACAATCGCGGCATGGCACATCGCAGTTTAGCACGGCCCAGCACAGCACAGCCCTGGGCACAGTGCATCAAGATCGATACACTCAACGTTGCACCTTGGCACGTTCCTTTTCACTTTCCGTGGCGCGTCCCGTGGCGAGTCCCCCTGGCACGTCGCGCGGCGCGTCCCCTGGCACGTCACGTGTCACGTCCATTGGCACGTTCCGTAGCGCGTCCCTTTGGCACGTCCCGCGGTGCGTGCCCATGGCACGTCCCCTGGCACGTCGCCTGGCGCGTCCCTTGGGACGTTCCGCGGCGCGTCCTCCAAATTAGCATGTCACCATGTCAATAATCTCTGGGGCAGCTACTATGTGCTGAGGCAGCTCGAGCTTAAGATCCAGATCAGTTCGGTCAGGACTCGGATGCAAAGGAGGACTCGATCCACAACGCTATAGAGCACAATCGCGGCATGGCGCACAGCACAGCCCTCGGCACGGTACATAAGATCGATACACTCAGCATTGGATTCGCCCGTCTCCCAATCAGGTGTCTTTGAAACGCCGCCATGCTTTACATTGCTAGATTCCTTTCTGGGTTCGTGGGTTGATCATGTTTGTGTGGTCTGCACGAAATGTTCTTAGAATGTTTCTGGCTGGAGCTGTCCTGTTTTAACACATCGGGTTAATGTTCTCAGAGCATGGTTTTGGTTCTTAGAACATGTTGGGGTTCGTAGAACAGGGATACCGGGGCAGTCGGTCCCTGCCCAAACCCAAACAAAGACTGCAGGCGAGCTCGCTGAGTAGGTCGACCCTTCCAAAGCAAGGGTGCCCATGTAGTACTAGTATGTCTTTGTGCCTCCCATGTCAGGCGAGCTCGATCCGCAGGTCGACCCTTCCAAAGCAAGGCTGCCCTCATGCCCTCTGACTCGCGACCCATGCCTGCTGCATTCCTATGGCAGTGTGGCCCTCGGAAGGTCTCGTGTCCTCTCGCGTGCCCTGTCCATGTCCGTCCGACTGTCATGCCACGTGTGCGTCGCCGCTGCAGGGGCAGCGGCGCGCGGGCGCGCCGAGAGGTCTTATGGCAGGTACTCCGTTGCGTGTGCTGTCTTGCCGTGCCTCCCCGAGCGCGTTCCCCTACTCGCAGAGTGCCTACTCGCAAACATCCGAAAGCCATATGTTTGCGTCGATGAGATTTGTCGTAGGCCCCCCGCGGCGAGTCCAGGCCATCTGCGGTTTGTTACTTTTGCGAGTGGTGGAACGCGCTCGTCTCATACCGCTCGGGGCACGATATGTTGCAGTCAGCCCGCATAGTACGGATGAGAAACTTCCCACGGCTGCCCTTGCATCCCTGCCCTCTCGGCCCATCCTCGGCGACTTTCGCTGGCCAGCCTCCTTCGAAGAACGTCGACGTGGCCCTACAAGGCCCTTGCACCCTTACCGCGCATCCTTGTTATACGGTTTGACTGTACTCCTGTGTGCCTCGTGGGAGTCCGTTGGGTTGGCCGGGCCAGCTTGCAGACCTGGCACTGGATCCAGAACCTGTCTGGTACCCACCGAAGCCTTCGAAGAAGGGAGGCGATGCAGCCAATGCCACCACTTCCGAAAGTTCCCTCCCAGCAAGCCGGAGCGTCGACGTGGCCCTTCAAGGCCCTTGCATGCCTACGGCGCATCCTTATGACACGGGCTGACTGTACAAGATGGTTGTGCTTCATGTTTGGCTTGGGCGCGCGCCTCCGAGGAGGACACGCGGTACAGCCAAGACGCCGAAAGAAGGGCCGCTCTGCTTTCGGAAGGGCTTCGCTGTTCCGTGGCTGCTCCTTCAGCGCCCCGCGTGCACCCAGGCGCTTCTGAGGCCAAGACGGGGCTTCGTTCCCTATCTGGCGTTCCTTCTGGTAGTGCCTCGACTGTACCAGTATGTCCCCGTGCGTCCCAGGAGCTGGGAGGGCCTCGGCCCGCTGAGGGTCATCCTCGCGGAGGCGTCGACGAGGTTCTCGGGCGCCCTGGCCCCGCAGGCGGTGTCGGATCATGTCGAGGGGCTCGTAGGATCGCGCCGCTTCGCCGCTGCATCGACGATGCGGCTCGATGTGGCGACGACGCGGGACCCATTTCGATTTATCCGCTTCGATTCGATTCGACTTCGACGGATTCCGATTCCGAGTCGATTCGATTTCGGATTCCGATTTGGGATCGGGTTCTTCAATGGGGACCTACTGGCCTGACGTTTTCCGCCGAGTCGACTCTTCCCGACTCGGCTGCCGAGTTCGCCGGTCAGATCTATGTGGATCGCCGATCCCACGTATCGATTCGATTCTGGGCTCTCCTGCGACGCCTCGTCGACGTCACCGATGCATCGCGAATGCATCGGTGATGCTTCGACGATGCGGCGTGGTCCTACGGCGGCAGTTGTTCCGAACCCCCTCTGGAAGATCTCTACGCCCGAGCTCCGCTCGGCAAGAGGTGTGCCGCGCAGGACGGGGGTGTACCCCCAGGGGGCGATTCGGGCGCAGCCCCCTCGAGGATGGACGCACCACGTCGGGCAACTATCCCTCGGGTTTGACCCGAGATCCGCGGTCCGCACTTTTTCTAGTGATAGAGACACACAAAGTCGGGGGTTGGGATCGCCGCGCCCCCGTGAGAGGATGGGCGAGGGCACAGACCTCTTCTTCGAGTTTTCGCCCTCTGGGCCCTGCCTAGGCCCCGGGACCGTCAACGACAACGTCTCGAGACGAGAAAGCCGGTCCCCGGAGGGGCCCCTTAAGTTCGGTCTGCAGTGGATCCCCGGCGAGGGCCATCGAAGAGCATCTTGGATCATCCTGCGAAAACATTGGCCGAGACGTGCCGAATCCCTTCTCCACGCGTGGCGGAGGTTTGCACGAACGTTCCTTGCAAAAGAACACATCGCGTGATATGCACGACATGCGCTGCCCTCATCTTCGCCGTGCCTCCCAGGAGCCCACGAGAGTGGCAGTAGTTGCGCAGTGCGCAGCACCCGAGGGAGCCACGAGATCTCAAACGGGTCTGCGCTGCCCTCACCCCCGCCTCGCCCGTGAATCGCCGACCCCATCTACCCAGACCCCATCCAGGAGGCCTCGAGTCACTGGGCCCCAGGACCATCAGAAGTGGACCTGGTACGGAAGAACATTCGCCCGTGCACGGAAGCGGTCGGATCCGTGGGGCCGCGCACGGGAGACATCCCATCGTCGGATGTATTTGGAAGGTGGTGCTGATTAGGTGATTCGGTCGGTATTGGTGTGAGGACACTTGCTGGTGCCTTGAGATCGCCTGGGTTTCACAGCACCCCCTTCTTCTTTTCATTCGCCCCCTGGTCGATCCTCGCTACGTTGCATCTTCGGGGGACCTCGCCTGCCCCCAAAACGTGTGTCTTCTCTTGTGCCCGACGCGGACTCGGTGCGGATGTGGCGCGGATTCGACGCGGATTCGACGCGGATTCGGCGCGGATCCGACGAGTCCGACATGGATTCGACACGAATTCGACGCGGATGGGGCCGCGACGGGACAGACAATGTCTTACGAGAATGCAACATAACCCTCGTCCGCGCACACTCTTCTGATCATAGTGCCCCTGCCCAGCCACCCTCTTCGGCGCATCCGCCCTTCCTCAGACCCCCAGAGATCCGATGCCTTGCTTCTTACACAGGGTCCCCAGAGGTCACCACCCCTCCTGCTCCGCCTCCTCCTCCTCCTCCTGCTCCTCCACCTCCTCCTCATCCTCCTCCTCCACCTCCTCCTCCTCCTCCTCTTCCTCCTCCTCTCTCCACCTCCTCCTCCTCCTCCTCCTCCTTCTCCTCTTCCTCCTCTCTTCTTCCTCCTCCTCCTCCCCTCCTCCTTCTCCTCTTTATCCTCCTCATCCTCCTCCTCGTCCTCCTCGTCGTCCTCCTCCTCCTCCTCCCCTTTGTCCTCCTCCACCTCCTCCTCCTCCTCCTCCTCCTCCTCCTCTTCCGCCTCCTCCTCCTCATCCTCATCCTCCTTTCTTCTCCTCCTCCTCCTCCTCCTCGTCCTCGTCCTCTCCTCCTCCTCTCTACCTCCTCCTCCTTCTCGTCCTCATCCTCCTCATCCTCATCTTCCTACTCTCTCCTCCTCCTCCCTCCTCCTCCTCCTCTTCCTCCTCCTCCTCCTCCTCCTCCTCCTCCTCCCCTCGTCCTCCTCCACGTCCTCCTCCTCCTCTCTTTTCCTCATCCTCCTTCTCGTCCTCGTCCTCCTCCTCGTCGACCTCCTCCTCCTCCTCCTTCCTCCTCCTCCTCCTCCTCCTCCTCTTCCTCCTCCTCCTCCTCCTCCTCCTCCTCCTCCTCCCCCTCCCTCTTCCTCCTCCTCCTCCTCCTCCTCCTCCTTCCCAGGGCCAGTGCTTCATCCTGAGTTGTTTTTTGTTGACGGCTCCAGGGCCAGGCCAAGGCCCCACGAGGCCGATCTCGGCGAATCATCTGCTTATCCCAGACATCCGCCGATTATTTGTGTTGGGTCCGCGGTCCCAGAAGTCTTGCCCCCCTCCTTCGGGGTGGCCGCCTTCAAGCAATGGCGAAGCGTCCCGCCGTGCCTATAATCCTACCAAACAATGTTCTGAGAACATTTTTTGTGGTTCCCACACAATGTTATTAGAACATGCCTGGCGGAGTCGGTCTTGTTTTAACACATCGGGTTCATGTTCTAAGAATATGGTTTTTGTTCTTAGAACATAGTTGGGTTCTACGAGCATGTCGTGGTAGGACTACAGGACTGCTGGGACGGTCGGTCCCTGCTCAATTCCTGTCCCCAGATCAGTGCTTGTGGCCCCCGGGCCGGAGAGTGGGCGCCCGAGGCCGACGTCGATGAGAAAGCGTCGCATCGAAGCCATCATGTCGTGGGAGATCTGGGCAACGCGTCGGAGCTCTGGGCTCTGCGGGTCGACCTCCTGCGGCAGCTGGCGCGCTCTCCATCCTGCGCCGCGTCGACGGCGTCGCAGGCAGGGCGGGCTCCGCCGAGCTCCGCCGCCTCAGCTCCGCCCTGCTCGCCCCTGCCTCGGCGCGGGCGGCTTGCGTGGGCCCGCTGGTGCTCGCGGAGGATCGGAGGTCACGTTGAAGGCAGCCGCGCTCTGCGCTTGCGCTCCTCTCCAAAGGGCGGCGCGAGGGCGCGAGGGCAACCGCGCAGCGCGGGGCGCGATGCACGACGCTGAACGTAGACTCTTAAGATACTCGCGAAAATGTTGCGCCGGCGCTGGACCCGCCCACCCTGGTGGCGCCGCCTGCGCCGCCCTCGGCGCGCCCCTCGCCTCAGGGACGAGGGGTCCAGCGCCGACCCAAGGTATGCGCGCGGACCTCCGCACGTTACGCTTGTGCCGTTTTGGCTGCTGCTCTGGAGGACCTGCAGGAGTTCGAGGGCGGCCTGAACGCCAAGGGAAAGAGGCGGAAGCTGCTGTGGCCGCGGCAGCTGCTCCTCGGCTGCAGGCTGCTGGCTGCACCTGGCACCTGGGAGGGATTCTTCGTCGGAGGAGCGAACTCTCGTGCGCGGCTCCCGTGGGGCGCGTGGGGGCCACGCCCAAGTTTTCTGCTAGCGGCAACTGGAGTCCAAGAAGCGGTCGAGACTCAAGGGAGGGAAATCCACCTGGAGCGGACACTTGGCGTTTACTAAACGGCATTGGGCGTTGACTAAACAGCCGTGCCCTGTTCGGTTCGTTCAGTGGGGGTGTTTAGTAAACGGACTCGCTTGTCGGGTTGGTCACTATGGGGGTGGATGTTTTGCCCTCTAGAGACAGCCGAGGAATACATCGGAGCCGACTGGGTACGGGGGGAAGGGAGGAGATGGCGCAGGGGGGGGGCTGCCGCGGGCGGCGGAGCAGGCTCAGACCATGAAGATTTGGCACGTGCGTGGCAAAGCAAGGGGCTCACACGGGCAGACCGCACGCGAGCACGCAGGCCGCCACTGCCGCGCCGCGTGCGGTGGTCGGCGAGCCGCGCACACCAAGGCTCGCTCCTCGCCCGGGGTCGCTCTTGCGAGAGGCCGAGGCTGGCGGTCCGTGACGTGCTCGGCTGCGCCGAGTCGTAGGAGCAAGGGGAAGCGGCACCAGCACCGGCGCGAGGGGCCAGGGGTGGTCCTTCTCGTGGTGAGGCCCCCCCGCCCCTCCCCGCTCGAGACACCCCGCATCCCCAGCTCGGGAGGGCACCGCACGCAGGCCGCTATCGTCGCATCGCATGCAGCGGTTTGCAAGCCGCGCATGCCAAGGCTCATTGCTCGCCCTGGGTCGCCCTTGCGTGAATCCGAGGCTGGCGGTCGGGGGCGTGCTCGGCTGCGTCGATGGGGTGCTCCGGCGCGCCATGGACCGGCCCTGCGTGCCTAAGGCTCGGGACGACCGAAATGGGTAGGAAAGACTGGGCACAAAGACCGACATCATTTCCTGATCAGCTTGCGCAGGGCTTGCTATCGGCGTCGCCGCGGGCGCTGTCCATGTGAGACAGAAGGCCGCCTGCCCAACAGCGGCCGCTGTCGGATTTGGGCAACATGTGCTGTTTGGCACCGTGCCCCTTTTTCCCTGCCCACCTCGGGCGTCCAAGCAGGCGACGCTGGGGCCGGAGCTCGCCCTGTGCATGTGCAACCTCGCGCTCGTCGCGCCCGGCAGCCGCGTGCTGGACCCGTTCTGCGGGTCGGGGGCCTTGCTCCTCTGCCCCGAAGGAGAGGAAGAGGGCACGCGCACGCAAACCCGAAGTCGGGCACGTCCCTCCACAGGATGAACATTCAAAAACAGCCCAAACATAGTCAGAGGACGATTCCTGCGACCATGTTTAGCCCTTTGGCGAAGTGTTTTGGCAATTTTTCAATTGTGTCGTCCAGAATCCGCCTGTGGGGGGACACGCCCGACCTGACACAGACCCAGAAGCCTTCAGCCACGCGCAGAAGGGGGGTGGGGGGAGGGGGGAGGGCTTCTTGGAAGCAACCCTGTTTCTTAGAACGCGCGTGCCTCATCTATAGATGTAAGGCCGGCGCCTTCTAAGCAGCAGCCTCCTTTCAAGAAGCCCTCCCCACCTCCCCCACCCCCTTGTGCGCACCGCCAAGGGCCCCCCCCCCCCTTTCGGGCGCGAGAGGGGGCCCGACGCCACACCGGGGGCGGCACCTCCAGCGTGGAGGTGCGCGGAGCCTCCCCGGGCTGGGGTGAAGTCGGGCATGTCCCTCTACAGAAAGGAAAAATCACACAAAAAATGAATCGCCGATTCCCCAGAAAAGCTGGGAAAATATGGAAAGCCGGGGGGGGAGACAAATTCCCCAAAAGATATGGGAAACTACGGGGAATCCTGTTATTTGTGGCTATTTATTTGTGTGTTCCAGAGCCACTTTCAGAATCATTTCTTACGTAACCCAGTTCGAATATACCTAGTCTTGTGACGATGCATCGTGTTCTTTTGATTATGTCATCGCTTCGCTCACTCCGCCGGCCGATTTCGCACCACTGTGGCTGCGTGTTGGTGTTCTCGTGCCCTTGGGAGCCTCTCGGGGGCCTCAGAGCCGCTCTTGGGGCGAGGAGGAGGGCGAGGAGGGCGAGGAGGAGGAGGAGCAGGAGAAGGAGGAGGGGGAGGAGGAGGAGGAGGAGGAGGAGGAGGAGGAGGAGGAGGAGCAGAACCATCTCTGATGTGAACTCACCGGGGATCTGCCCGGGACCTGCTCGGCGTAGTTGTCGGCCGCGGATCGCCAGGGGCCGCCTTGCGCGCGCGAGCTAGAAATATTGTTTTCCAGTTGCCAGAGATCCTAGCACGCCTCTGGCCGGTTGGGCCGCAGGAGCTGACGCCTATCACTGACATTCGGCTCATCCTGCCACCGTGCCTGGGTTGTGTGCCTGAGGCCACTCAGACAAGAGGAGGAAGAGGAGGAGTCGGAGGAGGAGGAGGACGACAAGAAGGAAGAAGAGGAGGGGGAGGAGGAGGAGGAGGAGGAGGAGGGAGGAGGAGGAGGAGGAAGAGGAGCAGGAGAAGGAGGAGGGGGAGGAGGAGGAGGAGGAGGAGGAGGAGGAGGAGGAGGAGGGCGAGGAAGAGGAGCAGGAGAAGGAGGAGGGGGAGGAGGAGAAGGAGGAGGAGGAGGAGGAGGAGGAGGAGGAAGAGGAGGAGGAGGAGCAGGAGAAGGAGGAAGAGGAGGAGGAGGAGGAGGCGGAGGAGGAGGAGGAGAAGGAGGAGGAGGAGCAGGAGGAGGAGGAGGAGGGGGAGCAGGAGGAGGAGGGGGAGAAGGAGGAGACGGAAGAAGAGGCGTCGGCGAATTTGGAGCGCGTTTGGCGTGAGGCCGTGGGGCGCGGCACCTACGAGTGGCCGTGGGCCTATCCAACCACCGTGCCTGAATGATGTGCCTGAAGCCATTCGGATGCCTGAAGCCATTCGGGAGCCGTTTCAAGGGAGGCTTCTCAAAGCTTGTGGGCTCTCTTGGAGCCTCTTGGGGCTTCTTGGAGGCTTCCGGGAGCTTCCTCACGGCGTCTGGGGCCCGAAGGTTCGAAATGTTTGGTCTGGTTCCTCCTGTGGGCCCCTCTTGGCGCAGGCTGGAGGCCGTCTTGGCCACTCTTGGGGGCTCCTTGAACCGTCTCGAGGTTCGCTGGGGCTGTCTTGGAGCCTTCTTGGGGGCCTCTTCGGCGGTCTTGGGGCGATCTTGGGAGCCTTTGGGGCCGTCTTGGACGTTGCGAAGGCTGAGGAGGCGAATCGGGTAAAAGTTTACGCTTTACGAAGGGAATGGAACGACTTGTGCCTCCTGGGGCTGTCTTCGGAGGCGTTTTGGATGCGTCTTGGACATTGTGGACGCCTGTGCGGCCGTCTGGAGGCCATCCTAGGTCCTAGATATCTGGGAGCGATCTGTGTACGATTCGGAGCCCTCTGGAAAATCTCTGGGGCGCTCGTGGAGCGAGCCGTGAGCCGCCAGAACCGCGCCCAGGAGTTCCGCCATCTCTGATCTGGAGTCTGCCGGGTGTCCGTCCGCGTACTTTCCGTCCGGGGCCGCCCAGGGGCCGACCCGCGCGTGCGCAGTAGGAATGCAGTTGCTCCAGGAGACCTTAGCACGCCGCTGGCCCGTTGGGCCGGCGAATTTGGAGGAATCTGTCTTGCCTAGGTTTTCAAGCCTCTTCCACAACCCGCCTGTAGGAGGACATTCAGGAGGGGGAAAATCCCACAGACACAATTAATTGTCGATTCCAAGGGAAATAGGGAAATATGGGAAGTGGGGGGGAATACAAAAACTTCAAAAATACATTAAAATGTGGGGAATCATTTTATTTGTGTGTATTTATTTGTGTGTTTGTGGGCCCCTTCAGACATGCTCGACCTAAAGCTGTGGATGGGCGGGAGGGCCACACCACCCGAAGGACCACCCCTGTCGCTTCCTCCTGGTCCTGCGACTCCCCGGCGGTGCCTCCGGCGCCTGCAACAGGCGCGCTCCGCGCGCCAGCTGACGGGGCCTCGCGTCGAGCCAAGAAGCCCGCGTGGACCTCCAAAAGTCAAGCAGTGGCGAAGCGTCCCGGCTCGCCTAGAGCCCCACCGAACAATGTTCTAAGAACCTCTTGTGTGGTCCCCACGAAAGGTTCTCAGAACATTTCTGGTTGGGACTGTCTTGTTTTAACACATCGGGTCTATGTTCTAAGCACATTGTTTTTTGTTATTGGAACATTTTTGGGTCCTAAAACATTTCGTGGCTTGACTATAGGAATGCCAGGACGGTCGGTCCCTGCTCAAAAAAGTGCAGATGGTCGGTGCCGCTCGTCTCTTCTTCTGCCAACGCCGCGGCGCTCGGGTCCCGCACGCTGGGGGAGGACGCCGACGCCGACCAGCTGGAGGCGCTCAGGCACAACTTCCTCCACAGCGGGCTGGCCCTGCCGGTGCTCTCCGAGCCCGGGGAGGCACCGCTGGCGGCCGGGGCGCTGGACGCCATCATCACGGACCCGCCGTACGGGTTCTGTCGGCTGCAGCGCTGAGATCCTGGCGTCTCAGTTGTTTCGAGCGGGGCGTTTTCGCCCACTTTCGTGCCTCGGGGCCTTCACAGATGAATCCGGCTCGGAGAATGGCTCATCGCATCAAGATTGGGTCTGGGGCTTCGGCAGCGTGTTTCTTGCCGATGTTGCCATTTTTCGGTACGTCGGATCTCGAGTTCTCGTGGTTGCAACTCCTAGCAGGCAAACTTCAGCATGGTCGCTGGTACATCGGTCGGGAACCGCTAAGACCCGCGCAACCGTGCTTGGCCCCGTTCAGCCGAGTTAACGCTGGGCTTCGCACGGCCCCATCCCAGCCTGGCACTTCAATCAGGCCCAGAGCCTGATTTTCTTTCGAGTATGGTAAGCTTGCTTGCATGGGGGCCTCCAGGGCAAGCCCCTAAAGGAAAGCTGGAGACGACGCAAGTCGAAAGGCGGCCAGGGTGGGTCGGTGAGGGCGTGTGGTTGGGGGAGGGAGGGGCGAACTGCCATGCAAGTATATTCTCCACTCTATCATGTAAATTTGCACATCGAATAGCCGTTCGCACGAACACCTACTAGCGGGTTTTCGCCAACCCGTGGCTCCCACGTCGTGATTCTTTTGCAACATGAGCCCCCGGAGGCTCCTCAACCCGAGCCGTTCTGTGACAGCCTTGGGGGTCCGGTGAGGGTCCCCAGGGCCATCACGACATGACTTGTTCAAGGCACGGGGAGGTCCGGGATGGTTGTTCCTCCAAGAGAACGACGTTACTGGTGCACCACCATGGTGCCTGGAGCGCGGGGACTGAGGGGAGGGGGAGCAAGTGGCAATGAGGGCAAACATACCAGAACGCAGATGAGCACACATCGCAGGAGACCCTCGCAAGAGTTGCCTCGTAAAGGCGGGTGGTCGTGGGGTGGGTGGGCAGATGGCGGGCAACACGCCATGCAAGCACACTTCCCAGAACCCCGACGTCGTGATTTTTCTCATCACATGAACCCGAAAAGGTCTGCACCCCTTCCTAGGGATCGCCTTTTCATCCTGACGCGTTTTTGCCGGTCCCGAGGCCGAGCAAGGCCCCCAGTCCTCTGTGCTGGTCGGCGGCGCGCTCCCCGGACTCCCTCGCGTCACAGACCCCCTCGCGTCGTGAATGCCCCTTCAGTGCGCCCTCAGGGCCCTTTTCTCCGTAGACGGGCTGACAGCGATGTAGGCAACGGCGCCGCAGGTTTCGGTAGTGCGGCCACGCGTGGCTCGCGCTGCAGTTCGTTCTGTCGTGTTCGCTAGACCCAGTCGCAGATGTGGAATGCAGGAACGTGTGGCTCGAGGTTTCCTACAGCCTGGTGCCCAACATTACCGTTAAGCAACATCGCCGTTGGCCAGGCCTTGGTTTCTGCACTCCCCAATTTCTGGTCACCCCAGGTTTTCCTGCCCGATCGCAGGTCTCGGGGGCGGCAAAGAGGGAAGGTGATGACTAGGGGGGGTGATCTCATTGCGGGGGCCATCCTTCCTCCCCAGATCTCAGTCAGGGCGCCTCTTCTTATCTCAAGACATCCCCGCCCCCCCCCTTGGGCAGCGCACGTGCCTGCCGTCGGCCATGATTTGCACCCCCCCTGTGATAGCTGCGGAATCGCACCACGACGCGAATGTGATGTAGACGCGAACGAATGTGATGATATTGACTCTTGATCGTCAGCTTCGCAATCATGCACCCCAACGTTCTGCGCCGGACTGTGTGCGTTCTTGTTTGTAGCTCTGCTTGCCCGGCTGGAGCACCGCCCCATTCAGCTTATGATTGCGAAGCCAGCTCCTGAACAACACGATCGGGCCACTGATGATATGCCATCGCGGCTACGGAGAGAGATCTTGGACGCCCCCCTCTTTGGCCGCCCCCGGAGGTCCGAGTGGCGACGTCCGCGCGGACGGCCTTCGCCACCTCGGCGCCCAGCGCCGGCCCCGGCCGGCCGGCGACGCGCTCGCGCGCGCGAGGGGGGCGCTCTGGGCGCGGCTGCTGCGGCGGGGCGCGGCGCTGCTGAGGTCGGACGGGGCCAGGACGGGGATATCTGGAGGAGGAACAGGTCTTGGCATCGCTCGGACGTGTGCACCAAGAATCCACGGACACCCTGGGGTCTCAGAGTGTTTTTTTTGTGTGGAAGGTTTCTGGTGGACTGGCCTCCACTGTACACCCTCCAGAGTGGCCGGACCTCAGAGATTCCCGAGGTAGCATCGCCCGAATGGATCCTCGTCTTGGCTTCGTCTTGTGAGGCCCGGCGGGCGGCTCTGCGCCCTGGCGCCGGACTCGAGGAAGACAAGTCTCAGCCACGCGCAGATCGGGTGCTGCTAGAATTAAGTCGGGCACGTCCCTCTACAAGAGGAATGTGCAAAAATAATCAACAATTAGTCTGGGGACGATTTTCCCACATATTTTTGATTTTTGTTGACTGTTTATATTTTCCGTTCAAAATCCGCCTGTAGGAGGATTTGCCCGACCCAATGCTAGAAGTGCCCCTGGCCCTCAGAGTAGGACAAGGTACTCGTACAGTGGAGGCCAGTCCACAAGAAACTTTCCACAAGATACCCAACCCTGGAACCCCAGGACGTCCATGGGTTTTTGTTGTGGGAACGTCACACGTTCCATCGTAGAACCACCGAAATCGAAGAAAACCAGGGGCACCCTGGAGGCAAGCAGGGTGTTTTCTTGGCATGGGTTTCCACTGTACTGCTACCCTTGCCTCGTTTTCTCTTTTTGGGGCCTCCTGGGAGGCCCTCGTCGCCACGGCTGGATTGGCCTCGAGATCCTGGTCAGACAGAACTCACCTGGGGAGAGGTCTTGGGTGTAGCGGTATCGGTACCTTTTCGTTTCCACAGGCCTAAGCTGCCCCCACGATTTCCAAGGAGGCCACCGAGGCCTCCAGAGCACCCCATCACGAATCCCAGAGTGCCCCAGGGGGCTCCAAATTTGAGTGAGAAGCTGGGGGCACTTTGGGCCAGGGGCACCTTCAGCACCCCTTAAACTGACGGTGGCGGGGGGACGGGGGAAGGCTTCTTAGAAGCACCCCGGCTTCTTAGAAGGCGCGGGCCTCGTCTACAGATGCAGGGCCCGCGCACTCTCAGAAGACGCCCTCCTCCCCCCCCCCCCCGCCCCCCTCGGCGCGCTGCCAAAATCGTAATTGTTTTTGTTCGTCGTCGGCCCTGGGAGCTCCAGCAGCGGTAGAGCGGCGGGACGCGCCGGGGACATGCTAGGCACGGAGGGGGCGGGGGGGGGGAGGGCCGGGGGGACACGGCAGAGAGGCACACTCAGACCATGAAGGCCGTCGCGTGCGCGCAGAGGAGGAAGTCCGAGCAGTGCGCGCCGGGGAAGCCAACGGCTACAGCGGGGGCCCATGCCAAGAAACACCCTGCTTGCCTCCAGGGTGGCCTGGGTGTTCTTGGGGTTCGATGGTTTTGCCATGGAAGGGTGACGCTTCCACACCAAAAATCGATGGACGTCCTGGGGTCTCAGGGTTGGGTTTCTTGTGGAACGTTTTTTGTGGTCGGGCTCGCACTGCACGCGTAAGAGTGACCCTTCCCAGAAGTGACCATCTGGTGCGGGCCCAAAAGAGTCCCGCCAGCACTGGCTGGTGCGCGTGGATTGCATGGATTTCGCCTCCCCCGGGGACTCTTTCATCCGCGGGCCACATGGCGATCCAACCTAGGGTCTCTCTTGGCTCTTGCGTGCAGCCGAACCCAGACCTCCTCTCTGGGATCGGCGCGGGGATTGCGAATGGGATAGGGAGGTTACCAGTGGATGCAAGGGGGGGTCATGTCTGGCCGAGCCCAGATTAGAAATGAGTTACGCATGCCGCGAGTAGGCTCCGCCGTCTTGGCGGAGTGTTCTTACCCTCCTAACAGGGACAGGTCTCTACTGCACCCCCAGTAGTTGGAACTCATTCTCTGTTCGGCGACCTTATTGACGGGCTGGGATTCCACCAATAGTGGAAATCACATCTTTATCTGCGGCACCCGCCGAGCAACAACGAGGACGACGACGACGAGTAAGTAGCGACCACGACTAGTTTTACGACTACGACTACGACGAGATGATCAAGGGGAAATTGTGAACAACGCTTTCGGCGAATAGTCTGTCGATCTAGAATGTTGCAATTCTCTTGCGAACCTGCCCGAAACTTCATCGTGCAGGGTAGGCCAGAGATCATCTACTTCCAACGCCTTCCTATTTCATGGTTATAACTACTGCTTCCGACCGACAGGTAGCATCAAGTGGTGACCTCCTTATCCTTTTAACAACCCCTGCGCGGATCCCACAGGTGTGCCACGGAACCCAGACCTCTTCGTGCCACGTGGAGAAAAATCCCGGCGGGGAGGGTGCTTGGCGGTGTTCGGCCTGTGGGGTTCCTTTCTGGGCTTCGGGATAATCGAAAACGATTGTCCGGAAAGCTTGTTAGGAAGGTCTCCAGACCTGTGGGGGTTCACGTCATGATATTTCACGGCGACGGGTTGCAGTTTCTGTCCCCGTGGACCAGGACTCGCTGTCAGTGTCGCCGCCGACATTCGCCCATTTGAGGCAAGCGGTGGCCTGCCCAACAGCGGCCGCTGTCGGTTTGGGCACCATTTTGCGCATCGTACACCAATGTTTCCGGTACCTGTTCCGGGCGCGCCAACAGACACACCAGGACATGGGACGCATTTTGGCGCCGCCCGTGGCGCGCGGAATGCGCCAGGAGGGGAGGGCCCAGCGCCAATGTTTGATTCCGCTGCTGACTTGTCTTCTTCCACGGGCGGCGACGCCGCGGGCCGCGGCGGCTTCTGGCGACTGGCTGCGCGGCTGGGGTTTGCGAGGGTGCTCGAGCAGGGGCTGGCGAGCTCCCAGGTCCGGAGGTGGCTGGTCGTGCTCGAGCTACACTCTCCCCCCCTCGTCCTCGTCAGCTGCGGGCGGCCACAGCTCGCCCTCGTCAGTGGGGTGGCCCCGCGCCGAGCCTCCTCGTCCTCGCCAGCTGCGGGTCCGTAGCCGATTCGGCTCGGGGGCATGGCCGTGAGTTCGGGCAGGAGCGGCGGGCGCCGTCTGGCCAAGATGGGTGCCCGCACACTGTCACGGGGGCTCTTCCTTGCGTCCGCTGCCACCACCGGCTTCGCCTATGATGACCCTGGGCTCCTCGAGGCGCAGGGGCTGTCTCACTACATGCACTGGAAGCACTACCTCCCGGACTGCCGGCCTCGGGACCCCAGCCGCCCCTCCGAGTTTGATGCCTCTCGCTCCGCGGGGTGCACGTCCGGACCACGCAGGGTCAAGTCGTTGTGGGGCCTCCTGGAAGATTGTTGGTGGCTCCTTGGAGGGCTCTTTTGGGGCCTCTTGGGGCTTCGTTGGGGCCTCTTTGGGGTCTCTTGAGGCCTGAGGGGGGCGTCTGGACTGCTGGCCTCGGGACCGCAGCCACCCCTCCGAGACTGCTTCGCGGGCCTGCGCCGCATTCGCCGACTCCCTGGGGGCCCTGGGGGTACAGTCGGGGCCCATGAAGAAGGAACCCTTTTCGTTGGGGAGGGGCTCGGTGTTCCTTGATTGTTTTACAGTGTGCCTTGGGTTTTCCTGAGGTTCTCCATGGGAAATCGAAGTTCAACTTCTGGTAAGGTAAAAAGGGGCCCCGTTCCTTATTCAGGGTTCCTTGGGTCAGCGCCCCGACTGTATCCCCCTGGGGCCTGCCGCGCGCGTTCGGCACGCGCATGCCGTCGCAGAGGCCATAGGCGATGGCCTCGCGGCCACACAGCATGGTCTGAACGTATGGGAATCGCGACCATATAGTGAGGGGCCCTGAAGAAGGAACCCGTTTGGTTGGGGAGGCGCTCCGTGTTCCTTAAGTGTTTCGCAGTTTGCCTTTGGTTTTCCGTAGGTTTCCGATACGAAATCGAAGTTTAATGTATGGAAAATAGGGGCCTCGTTCCTTATTTGGGGTTCTTTAGGTCAACGCCCCGACCATACACTCGAGGCCGTACGTTCTGCCAGGTCGATATTGCAGCCCAAGAAATTTTCCGCACGGCCTGGCAGCACCATTCTCGCCCACGATGGTGATGCCAGGCCACGCGCACGCACCGCAACGCCCGATCGGCGCAGGGCTGGTCCTGCTTAAGAGCACGGGGATACACATGCGCGGCGCGAATTCCTCTGGGAGTGCCACTGGGACACATCCGGAGAGCATCGTGGCAGTGTTGTCTGTTAGTCTGCGCATCTTACGCTGGAGCAGCCGAGCTTAGGGGGGGGGGGGGGGCATATTACGCTGGCATGCCACGCGGGAGACCTCAAACCCGACACCACCCCGCACAGCCCCGATCCCCCCCCCTCCAAACTGGCAGAACCAGCCTCACTGGAGTTGGGGAGGGACCAGACCCTCACGAGCCGGGAACCCAAAGGGATCGGCGAATCTCGTTTGCTCGCAGCGGCAGTCAGCGAAGGGCGCACTGAAGGTCGCGTGCGTCGGCGACTCCATCACAGCGGTCGGGCACACATCAAGCAAGGAGCACCAGTACCCGTCGCAGCTGCAGGCCATGCTGGACAGCGAAAGGGGCGCTGGCGCGTACAGTGTCACAAACCTCGGATGCTGCGGAACCACTCTCCGCAAGAGCGGGGCCTTCCCTTACTGGAGTTCTGCCCAGTTCAAGGCGCTTACGAGTTCAACGTGGGACGTGGTGATCATCATGCTAGGGACGAATGATGCCCGTGACATAGACTCAGGTGGACCCGAACATTGGCCTGTCGAGTGCAATTCTGCAAGTATGGAGGCTCTGGACAGCTGCGACTTCGCTCGGGATTACGCAGCCTTATTGGACATCGTAAAAACGCTCGGCCACAACGCCACGAAACCGGATGTGTATTTGATGGTTCCGCCGCCTCTGATGCAGCAAGGGGCGTATAACATGAATCAGACAATCATCAATTCCGTCCTCCCAGAGTTGGTACCAAAGATCGCCCAGGCAAATCGGGAAAGCGTACGAGGAGTGATCGACGTCTACAGAGCCATGGGCGGCACCCCCGATTGGAAGGAGAAGTTTCCTCCACGATGCACGCTCAACAGCACGTGGCCCCCGTGCCACTGGTATCTGAAGGGCCGCGCCTTCCGCCGCGGGTTCCCCAGGCAGAGCTTCGCAGGCATCTTGGGCTCACATTGTGGCTCCTTCTCAGGTTGAGCCATCCGGGATCCGTTTCGGGTTAGATTGGGGCCTCTGGAGGGTGAATCCGTGGCGGTGTATTGGGTCATTTGTTCGGGCTAACTACCCAGGGTCATCCAAGGGCCATCCTCGGGATTACTGCTGACATCCAGGGGGCGACTTGGGGTCTTCTCGGGTAATCTTTGGCGATATTGGTGGCGCCTTGACCTCTAGAGGTCATCCTGAAGCAACCTTGTAAGATCTTGGAGCTGCCTTGGACCCTCTGGAGGCCGTCTTGATGCTTCCCGGGAGGGAAGCAACGCCCAACAGCAGAGCGCATTGAGAAACAAATTGTTTGCTTCCGCGAGTTGCATCTCGGAGAGTCGTGGGACCATCTGTGCCGCTCCCTGGGGCCCTCTTGGACTGACTCGGGGCCGCTTTGCGGACACCTTGGGCCAGTTTGGGCCCTCGGGGCCCTCTTCGGGTCAATGTTGGGCGCTTCTGGAGGCCTCCTTGGGCCCTCTTGGCCGCTCGGTGGTAGCTCTCTGCGCATCCTAGAACACACTAGAGTGGTTAGGAATCCGAGGCCTACCTTCTGACGAGCCAGCTCGGGCGAATTTGCGCGGCCGCAAGCGGCCTGAGGTGGCGCTAGCGCCGCCAGCGGCGCAAACTCAGCCACGCTGCCTGCCGCGGCACACACATCTCCTGTTATTGTCATCGTCGTGTGCCGTCTTACGATCAGTAGACGGTAGGAAAGAGACATCTGACAGGATACGTGGGGCCAGAACTAGACAGGACGAGAGAAGCAGCAGTCAAGAAATGACGGTCTCACAGCTGGGCGTCCCCGAGGGGGCTGGCGGATTGCGACGAGCAAAGCTGCAACCCTGGCCAGTGTCATCCGAACGACGCCGGATGTACGCATCTTGCCGAGATCGTCAAGCGTGGGTGGTTGGGGCCCAAGGGGATATTGGTGTGAGGGTCAGCGAGCTTGCGGATTGTGGACAGGTTGGCAGATTCCACGGGCGACCTCACGTGTATGGCACATTCAGGGGCAGTGTTGGCGACCTGTTGTGCGAGACGTGATGGGCTCAGGAGCGATGCGCACGGGCAGGTCGGATTGTTAAACCGTGGCCAGTCGGCGCAAGGCGTCTAGACTCAGGCTCCATGCAGGATACATTATACATTTATATATATATATATATATAGATAGATATATGTAGATACCCATGCACACCGGATAAGTCTCATGCTTCAATTCGCAATTAGACGTAATGGCACCAGGCATTACAGACGTGCAGCTTGGCATGTCCCACATCATCCTCAGCTTCCGCGTCCTAGTTCTCACAATCCGCATCCTGTGGTTGTTGTTGCGCTGCCCTCGTTCTCAATAGTTCCTACGTCGCCATCATCATCCTGGTCTTGCACTTGCTGCTCCAGATCTTGATTATTCTTGGTTTGCGCAAGTTCCGTTCGCTCATGCGAAAGCCGTTCCTCTAAAGGCTAGCAGGAAATTGCGGAGCAGTGTTTGGCAAGCAATGTGGGGGGAAAGAGAGAGAGAGAGAGAGAGAGAAACAAAAAAGAGAGAGAGAGAGAGATGGAACAACAAGAGGCAGAGAGAGAGAGACATACTGGTACAGAGAGAGAGAGAGAGAGACACAGATACGGAGAGGGACAGGGAATGAGAGAGGAGGAGTCTGAGATGGGGAGGATGGATATTGCACGAACGTTGAACAACTGGGCTACTGAGGCTTACGCCAGGAAGGAAGCGGGCGTGCTGCTGCGCAAAAGGACGCATGCCAAGGATAAGTGTTCAGTCAGTTGTGTTCGGATTTAGTGTGCAATATGCGGCCATAAACGAAAATGGTATCCTCGTGGCCGCGCCACCGTGGCTAAAGCATACTATCAATCTGCTCCAAGTCGTTGTGACATCTTGCGCGTTTGGACCCGCGCTCATAGGTTGAATCACGCTAGTCTCTGGCTTCCTTCCATTGGGGCTCCAGTTTTTCCCACGTTTATCGAGCAGCCACTGGGAGTAGTTACTTCCGCGGTGCTGGCATTACCAGCAGTGTCGATGTGTGAGAAGGACTGGCTGAGTTTCTTTTGAGCGATTCCACGCAGATCGCTCCGATACGTTCAGGGCATCATCGCCATGATCGGTTCGCAGGCAAGTGATGACATTTTCGATGGTGCACCGTAAGCTGGTTCCATACCGTCAACACTGTGACAGGACGAAATCTGGGACACCCTTGATGGGGTGTGCCGTTGCAAACTGCCCAGTCGCGTTGGCAAGGTCAGGCTCTTTGAGTGTCTCATGAGATTTGCCAGTCCGCTCAGTAGATCCATACTTCCGTGCAGCAGCCGTGCCATCAGCATCGTCACGATCACCCATTTCAGCTGCCCGGTCAGATTTCCGAAGCTGTTCCATGGGCTAATCTCGATCAACACCTGCAGCCTATGCAGATGTCCGTTCAGTCGTCCCCATCGTGGCAGGGAAGATTCGGTCGGCGGCGCATTCAGTAATGTCACGGGCTTCATCCAGGTTGGAGACGAGAAAACAAGAGACCTTGGATGTTGAAAGACGCTCCGCCGGAGAAAGTATCTGCTATTGGACATTCCAGGGGCTCGCCTCCCCTTTTCTCCCACTGTACGAGGTGGCGGTTTCAACCAAGATGCGCTAGTTCAGCCTACCACCAACACGTCGTCAGAAGTGAAGCGACTTCTCAACAAGTAGGCAGCCGGAACTCGTTGTTTCGAGTATGGATTGGTTTCGATTTGCAGACCTGGGGACACTGCTCCCCCGTGTATGTGTGTATATATATATATATGTATACATACATACACACTCATATATATATATATATATATATATATATATAGGAGGAGTAGGGCCCCGGGGCGGTGCCTGTCATCTCCATGGGGTGTGCAGGGCGCCCCCGGGAGCGTCCGAAGCGTCCCGGAGGGCCCCTGGGACCGCCAGGAACAGTTCGAGACCGCCCAAGACGGCCCGCGAGCGCTCCAAGACGCGCATACATAGCCTCAGGAATGGCCAGGAAGGCCCGAAGACGTTCCAAGAGAGCTCCATGAGGCCCCGAAGGCATCCCAAGAGGCCTCCCAAGAGAGCCCCGACAAGCCAAAATCGTTGATTTTTATTGTTTTTTTCTAAGTGTTTGGCCTTCTCGCTTTTTCGGAGTTCCGACGCTCCAGGACCGTCCAAGAGTCTCCCAAAACCGCTCCAAGACGGCCGAAGAGGCCCCCAAGACCGCCCCAAGACGGCCCAAGAGACCCCCAAAATCGTCCCAAGACTGCCCAGGAGAGCCCCAAGATGGCCCAGGAGCAGCCCAAGACGGTGCCAGGAGAGCCCCGACAGGGCTTCAAGACTGCCTAAGCG